CTCTCTCTCTCTCTCTCTCTCTCTCTCTCTCTCTCATTCTCTCTCTCCCCCACACATACACACCAGCTACAGGAAGTATAGATACTATTTGTAGGGCATGTCAGAATTAAAGGAAAAGTAGATGAGTGAGTGTTCAGCCTGAGGGCTGGGAATATGCATGAATTTGAGAGATGATGGCTAAAATTGAGTGAGTAAGAAAATATAAATTGACTAGTAATTGGCAATGGCTGCTAACTTCATCAAATATACCCAAACCCACTGACTTTTACATATTAGACATATGAATCACATTATAATAAATGTGATTTATATTTTGGTAACAAAAAAGAAAAAGAAGAAAAAAAATAACCAAATGCTAGATACCCATTTTCACAACCTTATTTCAACTGTCCACATTCAGTTAAGAGCCCTTCATTTCCTAATTTGATTTTCTTCTTAAAAATGCCAAAATTAGCATCCTTAGAAAGGTACCACTTGCTAAATGTGTTAGATACTTTAAGGCTTGAATAAATATGCATTAAATTTATTAGCTTGGTTGCAATGCCTAAGCCAGAATTTAGACATTGAGTGTGAAATTGTTGAATATTTAGATGTCAAATTTGTGAGATAAGTTTTCTCGATTCACAGCATTCATAGTGATTTAAGGGGTGGGGTCTGCAGAGTGTCCAGAAGGCCACTGAGTGTTCCAAAATCAAGCACCCTCAGCTTCAGGATACAGAGTGCAAGTTCTGGATAATCTTTTCTTTCTTTCTTTCTTTCTTTCTTTCTTTCTTTCTGTCTGTCTGTCTGTCTGTCTGTCTGTCTTTCTTTTCTTTTCTTTTCTTTTCCCACATGAGGAATTTATTGGAAGAGAAGAGAGAAGAGGCAGAAAAGGGGCAGTGAGGGGGTGGGAGGCATAGAAGGGGCAGAGAGGGAGGCAGAGATGAATCCCTGGAAACAAAAGTAGAAGGGAAGGCTATCTTTTTAATCTCTCTGTCTCTGTCTCTGTGTCTCTGTGTACCTCCCTCCCTCCCTCCCTCCCTCCCTCCCTCCC